ATAACGGTTAAAATTTCAGGGTGACTGTGTGGGTTGCTTGGAAGAATTGGCGAAACTTGAAAAGAGCGGTGCACTTGATGAGTGGCTTAAACAACATCAATATGATTTGGTTGTTATAGGTGGCGGATCGGGGGGTTTAGCCACAGCTAAGGTTATCCACAGTTGTCTCTAGTCCTAATCTATATCAATAATAAATTATGGTAGCAGTCGTACTAGTGCTATTCTTAATGGTATTGATAATGAAATGGCAAAAGTGGTAATAATGATGTCGATAATGGTACGATGGAAATAAATTTAAGGAAGCTGCGCGATTGGGCAAGAAGGTTCTCTGTCTGGACTTTGTGAAGCCTTCACTTAAGGGGACGACATGGGGTCTGGGTGGAACGTGTGTTAACGTTGGTTGTATACCGAAGAAGTTAATGCACCAGACGGCACTTCTTGGGGAATACATCGGTATGGATTGTTCTTAGAATGGATATTCTATCCATATCGATTCAATACCATTCAAAGTCAACACTTGAAATTGAGATAAACTAACAATTCTTTATGGAATTATCCAAATTTTTATTTCTTTGCAAATACCAATGTGACTGAAATTTCTGATCATTTTATTCTTCAAATGCTGTCAAAATATGCCTTATTCATTGTGGAGTTTGTGCTGATTTCTCACGAGTGGCATTCATTTCAATGCATTGAATGTGAATGTGCTATGCAAAATGAATGACTGAAAATTTCAAAATGATGAATTACCGTACATGTACGGAACAATGGTTGCGTTTTTTCGTTATTCTCATCTTTGAGAATTCAATGGCAGCAGGTTTTAAAGAATACAGTGTCTCAAAGATCTGTTCCAAAAAATCACGGAATGAATTCGTTGACTGTTTGTAAACAGTATTGTAGAAATTGTTGGCCATTAAATGAAGGTTTAAGAAGATGCACGAAAATTCGGATGGTCAATACAAAGCGCTGATAAAAAGTTGAATTGGGAGAAAATGAAGAACGCAATTCAAGATCATATCGCTGCACTGAATTGGGGATATCGTGTTCAGCTTAGGGAGCGACAGGTACTTTAGAAGTTTTTGTGATTCATCTAGTCTGATGACAATTTTTATGTCATTGACAAAAGTTATGTGCGGTTCTTTTAGTGGTTTTGAAATTTCTTCTTTAATTCGGACGGGATAAGTTCGGAACTGTTCACCAAGTGAGACTCTTCCTCACCAAGTATTAGTTTAGGTGACATATTCGAATGCATATGGTGTTTTTACGGGCAGCCACGAGCTGACAACAACGAATAAGAAGAACAAAGTGGAGAAAATCACTGCAGATAGGTTCATTATCGCGACTGGCTTACGGCCACGTTATCCGGACGTCGAAGGTGCGAAAGAATGTTGCATCAGTAGGTGGGTTCGCTCGGACTGAATTACATGTTTGTATTGTGTTGATTTTTAGGCGCAAGCATTCTTCTGTTACACAGAAATTCATTGTGCTGTCACTTGAGAATATTATGGCAACAGCAGCAGCATTCAGAAAGCTCTACTGTTAGGCTCACAGGCATAACGGCGTCGATTTTGGACAGCTTGGCATTGATATTGCTTTAAAGTAATGAAGAATCACTGGAACATGTTTGGCTCTTTCAGTGATGATCTATTTTCACTCAGCTATAACCCCGGCAAGACTCTATGTGTTGGTGCATCCTATGTTTCGCTGGAGTGTGCCGGCTTCTTAAAGGGAATTGGCAATGAAGTTACCGTAAGTTTTTGTTAGTATTAATGCGGTTTCAAAGGCTTCATGCAAGAAGTTTGTTTTGAAACTCAGATTTATATATTGAAATTGATTGAAGGTAATGGTGCGATCAATATTGCTGCGAGGATTTGATCAGGATATGGCCGAGAGGATACGTAGTCATATGATGACTCGAAATATTAAATTCGTTCAGTGAGTTGTTCGCTTCTGTTTATTATTCCACTGTCATCAGCAAACTGTATTAGTTGAAATTTTCGTTGTCGAAGAAGTCGCCCTCTGAAACAAACGTCTAACCGAGAAGCGTTTGAAAACATGTTGCATTACAGAAAGTGCAGGAAGATCCGTTGATATCCTTGAAAGACATTATCACTGAAGCGTATATCGCAGTGTTATTGCTGTTAGTGTTACGTGAATCCGATGTTATGACCCGATGTGTGATTATATGTTGTCAGTGAAAGCATGAAACTTATATTGCGGTTGATTGCAGCGCAGTTCCAACAAAATACGAACGTCTCGAAGAGCCAACTGATGACAAGCCTGGATTGGTGCGAGTTTCGTGGGAAGAATCCTTCGAGGATGGTAATAAGAGGGTTGTTACCGAAGATTTCAATACGGTCAGTTGAATGGTTTCTTCGCTCTGCTCATGGACCCGCCCGCGACTTCGGCGTTGATAATTTAGCGTTTAAAAGCTAACCAAACGAGATCTCGAAACAGTCGTATATTCTTGCTTATTGAAGGTTTTAATGGCAATCGGTCGTGATGCAGTGACAGATGGAATGGGTCTCGAAACGGTTGATGTTGAACGCAGCAAGTCTGGCAAGATCATTGGCCGTCGTGAGCAGAGTGTCTCGTGTCCGTACGTTTATGCGATCGGTGACGTACTGGAAGGATGTCCAGAGCTAACACCGGTTGCTATTCAAGCTGGACGTATACTGATGCGTAGATTGTTGACTGGCAACTCCGAGTTGACAGAATACGATCAAGTACCAACCACTGTGTTCACACCCCTAGAATATGGATGTTGCGGTCTGGCCGAAGAAGCAGCAATTGCGAAGTTGGTTACTGTTGAAGATAACTTGAAATTTTTTATATGTTTCGAATTTCTTGAGGGAAGAGGAGTTCATTTCATTATGGTGATGGTCATGGGAACAAGAACTGGAATTGTGTCTCAGTTAAATCTTTTTGGTCATTCAAGTTGTGCGTCGTGCATTGCATTGCATACAAATGATTTCATTGAAGACTGTCATTTCCATGTCATTTACATTTGAAGCATTACATTGAAGATTTTGTATGATTCCGTTCTGACAGTTTTCAGGTACGGCAAAGAGAACATCAACGTCTATCACAATGTATTCATCCCACTCGAGTTCAGCGTACCGGAACGAATCGAAAATTCCCATTGCTATTGTAAGCTGATATGCTTGAAAAATGAAGAGGTATTCACGTTATTCTTTGGTTTTCGTTTTTTTTTCGATTCTTTATGTTCATTGAATGCTTGTTTCGTGAATTCAGACTTGTTCATACGAATAAAAGAGCATGACTTCATTAAGGATNGGCACCGAATGCCGGTGAAATCACACAAGGTTTCGGAATTGCGTTGAAGCTGAAAGGTAAAAAGGCAGATTTCGACCGTTTGATCGGAATCCATCCAACCGTTGCTGAGGTTTACTTTTTATTTGTTTGATACGTACCATTGATATTGTGATTCTTGTTCATTTTCTCCAATTCCGCGAGGATGTCAGGCGGAAAGGTTTTCATAGAAGTATTTTTTCATTTCCTGAATTTTTTCACGGAAAAACATGCGAAAATTTTTCCATCTATGTTTTGTATTCTTCTTCATAAAATGAGTCAGCAATCAGCTGAAAATATTTCAGAACTTCACGACGTTGACGACGCTGAAAGAAGAAGGTCAAGAACTGAAAGCAACGGGTTGCTGAGGTTAAAGTGTGACCTCTGATGGAGTCGACTGAATTGGAACTTTATCCAGTTAGTGTCAGTCGACTCGCAGACAGAGGTCGTCGAAACACAGACGAGTGATTGTTTGCGGTGGCTTTTGAGGATGTGCCTTGTTGACGTATTTATTGTTGAATACGTGAACGCGTACGCCCAAAATGAGCCATTGTATTCGTGTGACGGATTGTTGCTAAACTCCATGAGAGCGCTTCAATCTCGATTTATCACTCGTAGTGAATCGTTTTTGCTCTTCTTGTTTTCATGCATTGTTTTGCTCTTGTTCAATCAATTTTGCATCGTTGTGGTTCATCATGAAGATCGAACGTCTTTCTTATCGAACCGCCAACAAACTCACTATGCATTCATACCTAGGCCCATCATTTAATTTGTTTATTTGATCGGTGAACTCATTATGAGTTCATGCCTCTCTTTGTTGTCACAAGCACCGCACTTCTCATTCTTCAGCATTTTTTTAAAATGTGCAGCTCATGGCA